TGGTGAGATTTTAAATTTTCAGATATGTAGTGGATTCAAATTGTGTGAATTGAAAAGCCCTTTGATTTTCATAGTATTTTGCAGCTTTTGGAAATAAGCTATTTCGTAGTCTACTCAGATTTCAGTGAGATATGGAGTTAATGGATAGAGTATTTGTATAGCCTGTCAATATTTGCCAACATATATATTTGAAGATCAGATTACTTTTGAAAACATTGTTAGTGTGCTCTAGTATCTTGCTATTTGACCACCTACAGCCCCTGGGTTGTGCAAATGCTGGAAGCACTTAGCTACTAACTGGAAGGTTGGAGGTTTGAGACCACACAAAGATGTCTTGGGAGAAAGACCTGGTGATAAACTTCAACAACAAAAAATTAGTTACTGACGTTCTACTGACATTGAGTACAGTTCTACACACGTAAGCTTAGCACTAACTTGACAGGAACAGGTTAGGTTTTTTTAAATAAGCACCTAATTGCTGAGTATATGAACAAATTAAAAGCTATTCTGCATAGTCAGAATTTTTCCCAAATAATTATAAAGAAGAGATATTTCTAAGGGTGGAGTCATTGAGACTATCGGAATTGTATGGTTAATGTATGTTCAAAATATTCTTACTTCTTGTTCTATTAAAATGTATCAGTTTCTCTCATGAGGTTGATTCAGAGAGCAAAACCTCAGTTTGAATCCTTGCTATAAATAAAACAGAGCAAGGGAGATTTGCAGAGAGAATTTGTGAGCATGTTCTAAAAATATATAAAGTCTAAGAAAACTCATGTATTTCATTGTGATTATTTTCCTTGTAGAATAGGCCTCCTTTAAAGCCTACATCCCTGCCAAGATTACATGTTCTCCTGGTGAGATCTGGTCCAAGCTCTGTTTAGAGGTGTAAAGTGTTTGCTTTTATCCATTGCATAATTGGACTTGTAGAGAATTCAAGATAACCAAGGGAGTTCACTTGTTATAGCCCTGTGTCATTAGGTGCAGACATCTGATAAGAGAAATGAACATGTTCCTTACTTTTCAGTAACTTCAGAGAAAGTTGAGTGGACCGTTTAGGTGGGAGATAACTCAGTTCAGTGCCCATGACCTTCACTATGTACAAATCCCTCACATTAGCAATGGTTTCCACTGATTGCCTCTGCTTGTGGGGTTGCACAACACTGCTAGTTGCATTCCCCTAAGTATTACAGCAACCCCTTTCAAAAGATGTTGCCCTGTGGGAGAGGCAGTATTGCTGATGCCAAATAAAATGATAAAAATAAAAATGTTTATTTGCCTTGAAGAGACTAAGCTTTTAAGATGTGAGCAAGTTGACTATGTAGAACCTGGGTGGTAAATCTTAAAATGTCAGTCCTCTTTATTCCCCTTGTCCCGCAATTCAGGATGATTGAACTTGATATTATTTTATACACATGCATACTAGACTGTAAATAATGACAACATTCAAATGACAATGTGTGCATAAAATCTACCTGATTAGAATAAGATTTTGACAGTGTTAAATATGATAGGCAGAAGGAAGGAGGGGAGGGGAGCACCTGGAACCAGGTGGCTGAGCACATTTGTAAATACGATGCCTGGAAGGTATTCACCTAAATGAAGGGGACAACAGTGGATTCAGAGATACCTAAGTTAGTCATAAACACTAATGAGTAGGAAATCAAGTTTAACACTTTCCTGCATGTCTTTATACACACAGTTTCCTCTGATCCTGCGGCAGGGGACCTGCTGGTGCCACAAGAAAATACAGATAGTTCACATTTCATCAGTGAACCAGCAGGGCAGAATAATCTCACAATCCCAGCCCTCTTTCTTCCTAAATCTTATCCCTTAATTTCAGTTCTCAACAACACAATATCCCTCATCTAAGGGGCCATCTTAGAATTTTATCGTACCCACTTGCACATAGCCTGTGAGTGAAAAGAAGTGAAATCCAGCATCAATGGGTAAGTAAACTGCACAATGAAGATGAGCAACTTCAGGACCCGTTCAGACCTCCTGTGACCATGTTTCCTTATATTTGTTGTGATTATTTGTGAGGAGAAGTGCCTGGTTGACCAGATCGCAGATTTTACTGAACAGGGCTAGATTCCTGAATATGACCTTTTCAGGTTTCAGAAGAATTTAGAATTCTGGAGCATAAAAATGCTGAATTTTATACTTAATACTAAAATTATTAATAGTTTGACTTCAATAGTATAATTGAGAAGTAGAAAGTACATGCCTATAACATTTACGATTTTATCTTG